GGGGAACCGGCGAACAAGTGGACCGTCACAAAGGCCGAAATGGAGGAACAATGCAAGAAATTGCGTGTGGACCCCTTTGGCGACGTGGTAAGCCGCGTGGTGTCCTTTATGGAGCGAGTGAACAACATCATCGAGACGACGGGATGGAAATCACAGCTCAAGACCCCGAACATGCTCAAGACTTTCATCAAGGTGGTGGCATCATGCATCACCCCATTCGATGTACGCGATCGAGTTGAAGAACAGATGAAGACAGTCCAAGCCAGTACCATGGTGGAATTCTCCAAAATCCTGGCGGAACAACTCGAAAGAAAGTACCAGGCGGAGTTAGTAATGAAATCACGGGATGGCGACCGAAAGCGAGGGCGCGACTGGGATGAGAAGGGACAGCGAACGGGCAAGACCAGAGTCCAACTCAAGAACGAACAATACCAACGTGAAGCGTACTATCAGAATGGCAACGCCCCAGGCCCTAAAGGCGGTTATACAAAGCCGGCCCTGGTGGAACGTGGCCGTCGACGAACAAGTATGGTACCCCGGCGACAGCCCGGCGCACGTTCGACGACAGTGAACAGCCTACCAAGCGAGGTATGGCCCCGGCCAAGACGAACGTGGCGCGCTATGCTTTGTCTGCCAACAACCGGGACACCGTGCGCGTGAATGCCCAAACAAGAAGGAAGACTCAGCACGAGCTGATCACCTTCGGAAGGGCAAGAATGCGGCGAAACGCTTCAAGTATAAACAACGCAAGGCGGAATTGAAGGCGAAGCGAGCGGTCAAAGCCAAGTTAGCCGAAGATGGCTGTGAACAGCGATGGATTCGACTTAACGGAGTATTCGAAGTGCCCTACTGTCCCGATACTGGCGCCGACCAGAACGTTCTGCCCCAGCGGATGCTGGAAGAGTTGATGACGTTACAGCCTGACCTTACGGTGGTGACGCTCAAGGAGCCGATGATCGGGATGGCATGCAACAACCTGCCTTTTCAAGCGAACGCTTACGTGGACTTGGCCTTGCAGCTGCAAACGGCAGCGGGCCCAGTGAAGATCCCTGGCAAGCGGCGATGCTATATAGTGGCGGAAGGCGACGAGTTTCTAGCCTCCGATGACACCCTCAAGGCGATTGGCATCGACATCGATCGGCTGTTGGAACAGGTGGCGACCCTACAGCTAGAGGACGACGGAGATGACCTGGAGGAAGATGGTGACGCTCTAAAGGAGCAGTCCCATCGGTCCACCCTCCGTATCAAGGCAAGTATGGCCAAGCTACCCGAAGCCAAGGACGAAGTGGAAGCGGCACTCCAAGACCTGATCAACGAGGCCATCGATAACCAATTTCCAATCGAAAATGTGCAAGGTTTGTGGCGTGTCCTTACAAAGCATGACATATGGCGGCTCAAGTTCGATGGGTCTGACCCCCCAGCAAGGGTGAAACCATTGAAGGTGACCACTAAGGATGGATGTGTTCCGTACCGATGTAAAGGTCGGAAGCACAACCTCCTTGAAGAGAGGTTCCTCAATCTGTTTGCTAAAGAACTTTGCGACACGGGTGTCACCAAGCGCAACCAGCAAAGTGCATGGTGCAGCCCGGTGAACCCCGTCCTTAAGCCCGACGGCCGCAAGACACTAAAGACAGCAGACCAGTGGACAGACGACGACGTGCTGACGAACTACCGCTTGACGAACGACTACCGGGTGGTTAACTCGATGACCAAGCCCAAGGCCGGTACCATGCCGTTCCAAGCAACCATCCTCCAGAATCTGCGGGAGATGAAAGCTATGGGGGTTTTCGACCTGCCCAAATGCTTCTGGCAGTTCCCGTTGCACGAGGACAGTTGGGAGATATTGTCGTTCATGCTCAATGGCTGCGTGTATACCCGTGACAGGGTGATGCAGGGTCATGTGGACAGCGCGCTATGTGCAGTCCACGAACGAAGAGTGTTATCAAGACATGCTGTTTAAGAACATGCTGATCTGGATTGATGACATCTTTGTATACGCCGAGGACGTCGAGGCGTATGTGGTGGCTCTCGAGAATTTCTTCGATCGAGTGGCGCACTTTGGGTTTAAGCTGAGCCCGTCCAAAACCAAGCTGTACACACACGAGGTCAAGTGGTGCGGACGCATTATCAGCGGCGAAGGCGTGAAACAGGACCCGGAACGGATCCAGCACTTGTGTACCATCCCTTACCCTACGAACGCGGGCGACTTGCAACAATTTGTGTGTGCAGTCAACTGGTTGCGGGACTCCATGACCGAGTATGCACAGACGGTGGACCCACTCCAGCAGTGCTTGACAATGGCCCTCGAGGGTAAGGGCAAGAAGAAACGCATCGCGTCTGGTGTTCACTTGGAATTAACCGACGGCGAGAAGAAAGCGTTCGATGCAGTGAAGTCCAAGTTACGGGCGTCGGTTGAACTATCTCACCCTCGTGATGATGCAACGATGTGCCTGTTTACGGACGCCAGCGACTATGGATGGTCAATTGTGGTTACGCAAGTGGTGGCATTTAACGAAGCGATGGCGATCCAAGAGCAACACCATGAGCTACTACTATGCCAGTCGGGAATGTTTGCGGGCGCGCAGAAGTCGTGGTCAGTAATCGAGAAAGAAGCGTACCCGATTGCAAGAGCGTGCGAGAAGCTCAACTACCTGCTGATGCGATCTACTGGATTTCGCATGTACTGCGACCACAAGAACCTGATCCATGTGTTTGCCCCCGGTGAAGAGTGGAAAGCACACACCCGGGGGAAACTCATGCGGTGGGCTGCCATTATTGGCGGCTACCGCTATGACATTATACACATCGACGGTGTCCATAACCTATGGGCGGACATGATGAGTCGATAGGGCCAACCGATTTCACGTCTGGTGGCAAATCGAGTACTC